TCGGAGGACCGGGTCTTTACGGTGCCCTTCTCGGCCTTGATGCCCACCACCTCCCCTCCTGATGTCGTCGTCATAGTCATAGTTTAACAGTTTAACCACACCACGAAGCTTCCCATCTGCAGCTCATTGGCGAACAAGTGATTGAGTTTGCACCCCCAGCTGCCTTTGGCCTTGACCTTCCGCTGGTCATTGATGCCTTCTCCAAAAACGACCTGGCCCAGCTCGCCCTTCTCGACATCCTCGGCATCGTAGACCCACTGCACGAAGCGGCCCGGCTGCACATGGGCTCGCACCAGCTCCTGGGATTTGAAGCGCCAGGTGCCGTGGGGAATTTCACCTTCACCCTGCTCATCGTTAATGTCTGGCTCCGCCAGGATGTCATCATCACTCCTCATCCAGAAACAGAACATACCTCACTGGAAGTCACAACGGATAAGACTCTTTGGTTTGAAGAACTCGTGCTTTCCCTAGATGTTCACCTCCAGCTTGCCATCCTCCAATGCCGTCACTTCACCAATTGCCGTCCACGTCTGTCTTCACCACATGCACGAAGGACTTGATCTGAATGTTGCTAACGTTTAGCTTCACGGCCTTGAGCTTCCAGCTGCCCTTGCGGCACCTTTACGCATCTCCCCGTCTTCACCCAGCGTGTTCCGGGGAATGTCCTCGTCATGGCCCATACGATGTCGGCGGACTGGCGAGTGATCGGCATGCCTGAAAGACTAGGCTTTAAGCTTGAGCTGGCCCCTCGAAGATCCGGCCAGAGTAATGAGAGTAATGCGGAGTGGGAGGACTCCAAAGGCGAGCCGGAATGCAGCATCCGACCCACACGCGTGGAAGGCTGAAACATTGTGAAACAATGCAAATTATGCGAAACAAAGCGAATGATGTGCTCAACATAGTCGTAGTCAACCAAAGCTACATTGGAGTGATTTACATTTAGGATTCAGATGGATTCGAGGGGTTTTGGTTTTTGGAGCCTGGGATTCCCTGCTTAGTGTTCTGCATCTAGGGTTCCGTTTCTGGGTTTAGGATTCCGAGTTGAGTGTTTGTGGGGAAACATGGGAGTTTCAGCAAGTTGGGGGTGCCTGAGCGGCAGCCATGGGTCATTATCACAAAAAGCTACTATTGAGGGTCGGCACTACAGACTCTGATTTTCTGACACCCTGATAAGGCGAGACGCAGATGAAAGACGGACATGACAGTATGATAATCAGGCTGATTAGGTGATGCAGGGACGAAGAGTGAAGCTAGAGCTAGAGAGACAGAGAGAACAAGCGGACCGAGAGAGAGGGAGAGGGAGAGAGAGAGAGAGAGCGCGACAAAGCGAGAGAGAGCGAGAGGGAGAAAACACAACAGAAAATTGATGCTGTTATCTTCGAAGTCAGCACTGGAGCACATCGATGACCAATCCCTGGTCGACTTAGGAAACTTAGGGTTTTTAGGTCAGGTTTAGGGTTACATTTTACGAAGGCTATTTCTGGCTGGATGCCGTAACCGTTCTATAAACAAACTGCAGTTCTCTAGATCTTTCTTGCAAGCAAGCAGTGTGCTTTGTTTGCGAAATGTCTTTCCATCACAGTGTTTGAGGCTGGAACTTCTGCAGAGATTGGCGGCCAAGTGCAGCTTGGTGGACTTTAGCCCACGATCATGCTGCCAGGTAGAGATGCCTGCTTAGAGGCTGCGTCATGCTTCGTTCTACGATGAAGGCCAAGCGGCCTAATTATTGCTCAGGTGCGAGTTTATGGCCGTCCCCCTGCCTGTCTCTCTGGCTGTCTGGCTGTCTGTCTGTCTGCCTGGCTG